TGAAGCTCCGCCTTTCGTGCAACAGTGGACTTCTGGTCCGTCACCTCGCTCAGTCTTTCCAAACACGTTGTTTTCCGGCGCTGCGAGGCTGCGGGGTGACTCCGCAGCTCGCACATGACTTTTTCTTCCCACCTGGTGGGAAGAAGAGTGAACCAGGCCTTATCCTACCTTCTTCTTGGTTCTTCTATTGAATTTTATATCAAAAAACATCGTCAACAGCCAACAACTCCTCCCCCATCCTCACGCGTCCGATGCAGCACCCACGGGCACGTTTCCTCGTGCTGCTCACTGGCACGAGGAGCGCTCTCTGCTGGCGGTCGCTGGTGGCCTGGTTGCCGCGGTACCAGGCCAAGCGCAGGTGCCGAACGAGCGAATCACTTCGCACCGGTGGGAGCAGGGGTAGGCATCGGCATGAGTCCCTGGTGGTGATGCAGGGGCCAAGAATTGGTCTCAAAAATGGGTAGACAGAACCAAAAGGGAATGTGGGTGTGTACTATTGTGTACTTTAATATCGGGAGACACCCTGGCCCAACGGTTTCCTTGTCTATTTCCCTTCTTCCAGGGGAGGTCTCCCTATTTGAGCTGCACACCCATGTATTGTTTGTAAAGTGTTCCGTGCCGTGTGAGTCGATGGAAGGCAGGAAGGCATGACGAAGCATGACTGGATCATCGCCTCACTTGGGATTACTCTGCTAGGCCCTGTATTGAAAATTGTTTCAATCCGTTTGGTGAACAAGTATTTTAGCAATAGAACCAGTCCCAACATCAGCCAGACCGACCTGTCTGACTAGCAGCCCCGCCACCACCCAAGGAGTGTTTGCAAGTTGTGGTTCACTCATGCCAAGCTGGAGTGGGCCTGAGCTGCTCCATAGGAAAGCCAAAAAGTCCATGAAGCGTGCAAGATAGGTGATCCCCCAATCTTTGAACCCTGTTGTCCATGTCTCTTTCGCGAGGCATTCTCTGAGACCGAGCTGAACCAGTTCGGCCTGCGGCTGCCTCAAGGGACCTGCACCACAGCTTGCGTGAGGTTCTTGGACAGAAACGATTCTGATCGCCCCCAAGCATCATCACCTGTCCCACCTTGGGCTGCGAGGATACGTTGACCCTGGAATGAGTGAGGCTTCTCCGAAAAGGATCGAAAAACACATCTATATAGGTGCAGTTGAAGGCTCATTCATTCAGTCATTCAGCGTTTCAAGTTCCTCGACTCAAGTTCCTTAAGCACTGTCCGCAACCGCTCGGCCGCACCGGCCTGCTCGCACCAAACGAGTGGTCCCACTCTTTTTGAGCGCTGATGGCTGCAGCATGCGCGTGCGGCCGAGGGTCTTCGCCATCTTCTTCTTGGGATTCTTCGTCGCCCGAAGCCTCGGTGTGGCCCTATTTGCGGCCAAATGCGTATGATTAGTGGTTCATGATATCATCAATAGACGTGGGCATTATATTTTTGTACATCTTTTGGGTTCATACAAAGCAGGTGCAACACCGTTGCTTGAGACACTCTGTTGCAGGGGCTTTACTACCATCTTTGGGTACAAAGCTTTTGAAGTAGGCAACCTCTTGTTCTTTCTGCGACGTTTCCTGCACGGCCGCGACAACTCTGAGGCGGGATTGGTGCGCATGTTCACGGTTGGCAAGCTCTAAGGACTCTTTTCGGACTCAGCGCGTAGGGGTGAAAACCAAACTTCAGTAGGACCAGGCAACAAACCAACTGGAGTGTCTTGCAGTCACTACTCTGCGGGGTGATATCGTGATATCATTACTCATGTTTCTTACAGAGCCTTGGCCTCTAAAAAGGTCTCTATGTTTGTTCTCGAGAGGCTTCAAGCCAGGCTTCTATATTCAGGTTTCAGGACCCGCCAGGGCCAACAGGTCATGACCTTACGGGTATGTTGGACCTGGAGTTAGTCATAGAAAAACACTACTCAAGGAGGTTTTCAGACCAGGTTTGAACCTGGGTCATACTGAACTTGTAGGGTTGAATTGGCCGTTACTCTTGCTAAAGATTTCATCCGCCCCTCGGCCTCACTAAGCTTCATCCAGCTTTCGACTGACTGGCATGTGCGAAGAACTGCCATTGGAGACCACCTTGTCGAGCCCTGGCTGCCCAGGACCTCTCAAGGCTCGAGGAAAGCCGCTTTTTACCGACCCGATATGGATGTCTGCGCGGAGAACGCGGACTGCGCAGAAAAACATGCTGAGAGATGCTGAGATGCGACCACGACCAAACGCCATGAAGGTAGCTCTGTGCTCAGTAAACCAACTAAGGAAGAAGATCAATACAACTACTTGGCAAAAATGCTTCTTTGCTGTATATTGGGTGTTTCTACCAGCTATTTAACGTTGAAGGGAAGTAGATTGTTCGTCCGCCAATACACGTTGCACGCTGTTCTTACATGGTTCAACGGTTCAACTGAGGTTCTTGCTGAACAACAAAGCCAGTTCGAATACAAATAACTTGATTCTTGAAGTCTTGCTTCCATAACTACACACACACACGGTCAATATCATCCTATAATCTTCGACAGAGGTGCCCCCCCCTCCTGAGCATCAATTCACACATGTGCGTTTTCAAGCGTCGACACCATGTTTCATTCTCCTCTGCAGGGGTCGGGTCACAGGGGAAATCACAGGGGTCGTGCATTCCTCCGCTGCCTGCTGTTCTCGGCTCGCCCAGCGGTGCTTCATCCAGCTGCAGCGAACCTGTCTACCGATCCGTCGCCCGCCTTTTCACCGCGCGCCATGAGGGCGCCGAGCTGAGAAGGGTCGGCGTGGCCGGCATTGGTTGCAGCAGCCCCTGGAGGGCTGGAGGGTCCATTGGTTGTTCACTTCAAGGCAACGATTTGTTGGGATTCAACCCAAGGTTCTTCCGGGGTTGGTTGGTTTGCCATTCTCAGGAGGTCGCTGGGTGTGCAAGACTCCTTTGATTCAAGCACTAATGGGCGTGCGGCGTGCATTAAAATAGAGAAACCTTCCAAGGACCCGCTGGAGGAAGGGACATAGACCAGTATACCCATTGGTTGTGGGTCTATAAAGATACACACCCAAGTATTACCTGGGTCTCCGAAGGTTGCTTTTTCATGCTCCAAAACGAAGGGTGCGGACCCTGTGGCCGCTTTGCCCGACGGTCCAAACGGGAAAAGATGAAGCCCTTTCAGGAAAGCACCAGCCCTTTCAAAGGTGCAGAAACAATGTGAACATACATACTACAGAAAAGAGCTGGTGATTGGTGTTCCAGTTTGTTCCGCTTCACAAAGAAGTTCGCCTGGTCGGGCTTGAGGGCTCCTTTGGTTCTAGGAGATGTTCAAGGAAGGAGAGGACCCCCCTTACTGCAGAGGTTCGTCGGTTTTGGGCTGGATGAAGATGTTCCAGAGCTTTTTCTTCCTGATCAAATCCCTCCAACTCAACCCCTTTCAACAGTGCTTGGTGAATGTGTTCAATTTGGGTTTCCATCTAGGCAAGATTCGGTGGAACTTCTCAAGTGGCCTAGTGTTCTGGAGGATCTCCCACACATCTCTGAGGCCTTGCTCCTTCTGGCATGTGGCCTGGTGAGAAAGCTGAAGGGAATTGTTTGGTGTTGCTCTTCGCGCGGTTCTTCACCGCCGGCCGTCTGCGGGCGTTTGGGCCGTGCGCCCCCCACTCCTCCGCCGTTGGGTCGGTGCGGTGCACCGGTGCGGTCGAAGCGTGATCGCTTCGGGGCGTGGTGTTTCCACGGCGTGGGTAGGTCACAAGCAACTCGGAACGGTGGATGTGGGATGATCCAAGGCATGGTTGATGGTCACACTCTGGACTCACTAACATAGAAGTGGAAGGCATGGGCATGGGCCGCTGGAAGAGCCTTTGAGGGAACTCCGCTTCCATGTGAGTGAGTGGGAGAGTAAGTTCCTTCAGGATCAACGTGTGGGACTTGGCCAAAGCTATGTGTGCCGTCACGAAGTTCGAGACTTGTGCCATTGTTCTTTTTTGCATGTCTGTAACTTGGACTCAGACATGTTCCTATATATATATATATATTATCAACAACTATGCACATCTCATCACCTCTCCATCAAAACACATGGAATTAGACCCCATCTCCTTGGACATTGTCCTCGCTCCTCGGTGTGACGTCCTCGCGCTGTGGGTCTTCCAGCGTTTGCTCTTGGAATGACTTCAAAGCTCTTGGTGTATTAGAATAGGGAGACCTCCCAGTTGGGATCCGAAGAAGAAGGCCTTACATGATGTAGTTTTGTTGTACCAACGTGCCCCCATGCGGGTACATCACAAGATGCCTTGCGCCGTCAAAATCCAGACACGGCCCAGGGAGTGTACACCCAAAACCCTCAACCCAATGAGTCACATGACCATCACCCTCAACCCAATGAGTTGATCTCACTCTCCCGAAAATGCGAGTGACGCTCCGCTGAACAACCCACTTCAACGCTGGCTGAGGCAGTTTTGGAGTCCACGCCCAGGCCAATGGTTGGGTCCGGCCGGTGGTTAGGTCAGTAGTGGTTGCATAAAGGGTGTGAGGGGGGCGCCGGAAAAAAACACACGTGAGATGGTTTGTTTGGAAGATGTATCTAGGAGATCTATTTGGAACGATGTCTACAGGGGTGGTAGGAAGTGGTCCCACTATGACAAGGTTCATTTGTGCAGGCCAGAGAGGCTGTTGATGGACTGTGTTTCCTCCAGCCACAAGGGGATGCACCAGAGGCAAAGATCTGGAGGTATCTGTTTCTTTCTTCTCACTATCAGATAAGACATGATTTCGTCCATCAACACTGGGGCACAGGCACAAGAAATCCCCGGGTAGCTGCGAATTCGCAGATGAGCACCACCTGGACTATGACTCACCTTGGAGTCATAGAAATTGACCTCGCTCCGATTCCACGAAGCGACCTTCAGCGACCTTCAGGGGCCCAGCACCCGGTCTGGGCCCGCCCCTCGGACGGCAGGTGGCGACGAACCCCACTCACTACGGTGACCCCAAGACCGGCTGCGAGTCTGATGA